TCTGAGGTGAATCACCACAAAAACTCTTTCTGCGGTAATTACTCGATAACTTACGCTTGCAAGTTTCCAAAAACACCAGATTTTTTTAATTTGCTGTATATATAGAAATCTGCACAGAAATTCGTCCATATAACTAAATAACTAAAATGCGCATTTGCAAATATATCTATTTAAATGCTTGTTATAAGCATTGTTAATTTAAAGATAAAGTTTACACGCAAATTCCACACATTTATGTATTACACACAAATTACACACAACAAAATAAATTCCACACAATGCGTGGATTTCCACGTACATTGGCAACACTGGCAAAGATAATACATTATCTTTGAGTAGCACTGAAAACGATGCGTTTACAGCCTGATTTATAGATTCCCTTCCTTCCTTCCTCCTGTAAAAGATGAACAATACGAAAACCGTACTGCTGTTTATAGATTCTTATACGGAAATCTATAAACAAAACGGCTTTCGTATTGTTCATCTTTTACGGGATGGCAACATTGCCCAGCAGTGTCGCCAATAAGAGAATATTTATATTCTACGCTAATTTGAGTAGTTTAACAACTTTTATATATAATATATAATAAAGGTACCTATGTATCTTTGGAGTTATTGTCACAACAAACGTTTTTTGAAAATAGATAATAAATATTATATAATATAATAAAAAAGCTGTCTTTATTAAAATTCCAACTTCTAGTGGCCTATTGGTAAAAAAAGGGGAAAAAATGTGGGCTCCTGCTTCTCAAAAACCTATACGTCATCTGTACTATAATTTTTCTAAAAAATAACCTTTATTTAAAGTCGAGCAAAAGTTACAAAAAGAATAGTTAATATTTGAAACAATTATATCCTAACTTACATAAAGATACCTTATATTTAATCCAAAAGTAAATATTGTATCGCCAAGAATTATAACAGTTGTATCAAAAAATACTTATTCTTAAATTAAGAACAGTGTATATTTAATTTAAGGGGGCTTGCATTTAAAATAATATGATAGTTTTTCTTGAAATAAGAATAAGTTTAACTTTGCACCTAACATTGAAATTATATCCAAATAAGTATGGGTTAGTTCTTGCATTCAACTCCCTATATCCTTCAAATAAGTATTAATTTAAATTACAAAGAAGAATAAATATTGCATAATATGTATTGCCAGATGATATGATAGACTTAAAAAAGTGGAATACAATATCCATATTTCAAATTACAGCAAAAACCCGATGGACATATTTGTTTTATTTGCCTTTGTTCTGTAAATCGTCGAGTTAATAATTTTTGCTTTTTATAAATGTTTTTTTGTTTGTTTTCATTAACGCTACCCTCATCTTCTGGTTCTGTCATTGTTTATTATCCCGGGTAAAGGACATTTTCAGTTAATTGGACGAATTTATTTTGACTCGGGTCGCAAACCTTCAAATAATATTTTCTTTGAAAGGATATTAGTACTGATTTTTGTCTTTTGCGATAATTTAAAAAATAAAAGACAAATTAAAATACACGATTAATTAATCTGCACTTTTTATTATAATAAGTTGACAATTTTACTTGCACGTAAAATTCAATATTTGTCCACTCATACCAGGAAAATAATAAAACAAAGAACAAATTAAACCAGTAAAGTGTAACACCGCTTGTTATCTGCGCTATAGTCTAGAATGAAAATAGCTAGGCGTCTGGTTCGGTCATTCGAAATGAATGAACAATTCGTCCATAAAATTAACGAGAAATTCGCGAAATTTCGCAGATTAAACACCGATGCGCCGTAAGCAATATAACGGACAAATGATAATTCGTAGAACACCATTAATGCTATATACAGGGTGTTCACTGAAAAGGTAAACCTAATTTTGTCTAAATCTACAATTTTCAAAATTAGATTTGTAATTGTCATAGAATATAATAGAGTAAATTATTTATAATATCTAAGACGAACACAAAGCAAATTTTATTTGTTTAACATTTGACATCTGAAAACTGTCAAACGAATTTAACCCCACTTTTTACTAAATTATAATAAATCTAACTTCAGCCAGAATTGTTTTTATGTGATTCTTCGGCCAACCTAATATCATTTCAACATCTAAAATTCAAAACATAATACTAGTAGTATTATACTACATAATACTAGTAGTATTATACTACACACATAAATATAATTATGTAATTATTATTACCTATACAAACATTTGTCGGTTAATTCTATCAAATTCCACTAATTTAGCAGCTCTTTCATAATTCCAAACCAAATTTTAACTAACACAAGAAACAATCTTCCAAAATGTCGGACACTTTCGTGAGTGAGGGATATTTTTAAGAATAGGCCAGTCGTACCAATATTTACTAATCTTAGAATAACTTTAATTATATTTATATCCAGTCAGAGCTGTCAGAAAAAAGTATCTTAGTTACTTTAGAGTAACTTAGTTACTTTAAAGTATCTAAGTTACTGTATCTTAGTTCCTTTATTTTTTTAACAAAAAGTATCTAGTATCTTAGATACTTTTTAAAAGGAACTGTATCTTGTAACTTAAAAAAGTATCTTAGATACCGAAAAGTATCTTAGATACCAAAAAGTAACTTAGATACCAAAAAGTAACTTAGATACCAAAAAATATCTAAGATACCACAAGAAAAGTTCCTTTAGTCAAGTTGTTCGAAACGGCCGCGGCCATCGAAGTTATTATAATAAGTATACTGGCGACTTCAGCGACTGGCGCCAATCGACTGGCGGCGATTTTTGTTATACCTACTTAATTTTTATTCACCTATACTTCTTTTATAATCTGTGACTTCGCCACCCGCTCTGTAGAAGGGTGTTTCCGTTCGTTGCGACTTGAATTTATAGTGGTAACTTACCACTGTTAAGTCTGAAATAAGTTAGGTTAGGTAAGTACTTGCACTTGCTTCTTTATGATGTACCAGTGTTGCCAAATGCTTTATACCAATTTTCTTCAATTTAGCCTTAAAAAACGTCATTTTGTTATTAATTAGTTAACAAAAAAACCTAAGTTCTGAAGTAAATAGATAAGAACCTTATAAGGTACGTAGGTTAATTTACCATAACCCACAAATTAACCTTAAAATTTACATTTTGACAGTTTAATAACAGCCCTGAAAGTATAAGGTTTATTCTTTACAAAAGAGGAGTAAAATGGTTGTCCTTAGCACTTTCAGGCTTACGTTTAAAACAATTTGTATACACATCACAAACCCGAATCACAAGAATTGTAAACAACATAAAAATGGCCACCGTTAGAGTATGTGCAGTGGGTTGCCTAATTTCGTGATTTTTAGTATTGGGGTGTATTGTTGCACCAGTGATGTAATTCGAGTCGTAGAGTAGTTATAACATTTTACCGAGAGATGTCAGAATGCATACGAAATGAATAATGAATAATGAATTTATATCATATTACAGTGTTCAAATCGAGTTAAAGAATTATATAATAAAAATTTAATGAAAAAAAATATGTGAATTTAAAAAATTTTTTATATTTTAGTGGTTTTTGTGAAATATTCTTCTTTTCTTCATTAGCTCCCGATGTAGGCTAAAATTCTGCATATTGAAGAAAATTTTGCATTTCTGGCAACACTGTGATGTACTGATGTAGGATATTGGTTGTTACATTGTACCGTACATTCTATAATGTTCAATGCATGTTTTCCATTTTAAATTTTAAAAAAATGTTAAAAAAGATTAAATGAAAAGTGTGAGATAATTTTTTTATTTGTATAATTAAGTGGTGTTTAATTAACGATTTTATCTCTTTTTATTTTTAAGATATTTTAAAAGTGCCTAAGTTAGACACTTTTTGCATTAGACCCTTCAATGGTTTTAATCAACTAGATTTTATTGAAAAAAATTGTTAAAAAAGTAAGCTTAAAATTATTTGAAAAATCAGGGTGGGGTTGGAACGAATTTTTGTTGGGCGGTATATACGAAACTTATTACATAATATACAAAGTAACTAAAAAAGTATCTTATTAAGTATCTTAAAAAGTAACTTAAGATAAGTATTTAAGTTCCTTTTTTTAAAGAGTAACTAGATACCCAAAGTAACTTCGGATACTTTTTCAAAAAGTAACTTATCTTGTCTCTAGATACTTTTTAAAAGTATCTTTGACAGCTCTGTATCCAGTATAGTTTTATATCTTTAAGAACAGAAAAGAGGGAATTTTCCAAAATTTGGTCTAATTGATTGTTAATCTTAAATTAAGAATACGATTATTTCATTTAAAAGGCAAGAATAAGATTAATATCTTGTCTCAACTGTATGTACTTGATTTTAAGGTAAGAAATAAAATGTTTTTAATTTAAGGATAGGTTAATATTTAAAAGAAATTTAATGGATTCGTAAGTTACGTGATCACTTATTCCGTACCACCCTGTATAAATAGAGATGGATATTTATACGGGTGTGTGGTAACAGGATGCGTTATTTAATGGCCCGTACTAAGCCATAATGAAGGATTAATGATTTGGGCGAAATTTTGATAATGAGCAGAGGACAGGATAAATTGGTTTGATCGAAGACAATGTAGCAAAAGAAAAACTTGATTGATGGAATGATACGAACAAACATTAATAAATATTTTCCTATTTTTGTAATCAACTATTATACTTTTATATATTATAAATTTGTATGCCCTTAATATTTTTTTTTGTTGGAATTTCAAATATTTAATAAACATTCTTTAATTTAAAATTCGTATACATTCAAAAACTGCTATTCGAACAATTTTTATTTCAACTTTAAAGAATTAAATACAATGACGAAATTGTAGCGAATGCAACTGCCATAAAATGGAAACTGCAAATTCGGTATTTTGTAAGAATTCCACTCAATAACACTAACAATTTTACAACTATCCCACCTATCAAATACTACTCTCTATCTCTATGTTGCACCGGATAATTTCCACTTAAACAAAATGCTGCGGAGGCATTTTATTTTTTATTTTGTTAAAGGTGTTTGTTTTTTTCATTGCAGAATTATGATGGCCCAGCCCACTACAACAATAGAAACTGTCACAATTAAAAGGCCATTAAAGGTGAGTTATTTTGTAATATTTTGGTTAAAATTAATTTGATTGTACAATGCATTGTTTTAAAATAACAAATTCAAAAAAAATAGCTAATAATGTGAACACTTTAATTTAAAGTTTTATGACATATTATGTTATTCAGTAATATGCCAAATCTCAACACAATAGATACGAAATCTGCGCATCGTCTTTAATGTAGATAGCTTGCAAAATGGGCCGTCCTAATAGTTTCTTGTGGTTTACTTCACGCGAAATTGGCCATTTCGTAGTAAATGGCCTACGACCCACAGAAACGGTCTCTCTTATCCCAAGCAGCATAATAAGTTTAAATAACTGCAAATTTACTACTTTAAAATATTTTTTACGGTTAACAAAACGGTTTTATAACGGTATAGTTACGAAAAATTACCAAATTTGGGGAATGTTTTATTTCGTTATTTTACCTACTTAATAACCTTTTTGATCCACTAAGAGAATTACGTAATAAAAACAATATAAATACCACAAATTTACGTAAAAATAACGGTATAATTACCAACTGTTTGATCTCTCTTTCTAAAACATTGACATTCGTTATTTCTTTGCTATTCTTATTTTTATTTTAAAAAATGGTACTTACAAAGTAATAAAGGCCACACACACTAGAGTAAAATTAAAAAATATAACTTAAATTGTCAAAACTAATAAATCAAAAATCATTTAGTTTTAATCAATTTTTTTATAACTAAAACTTTCCTTATTATATTTTAGAAAAATATTATATAAATGTTTAGATAAGTAATGGATGCCATCTTAAAAAACTCATTATGGCGACCTGAAAAAAATGTTCCCTTAAAGTTTTATTTTTCACTTAAAGCTTATTTTTTCTTGTTTAGTCAATATTAATAGTATTTATAACCACTAATAACCCCAAAAAATACCAGGCGAATAGGAATTATTTACGGTTATAAAGTGGTCGTAAAATTATGACTTATGAGTAATATTTACCATTAAGTAAAAATTCTGACGTTAAAATTACTGTTAAATTTTCCTTTGGGTGAAATACACTTATAAGTAGTTTTCTTTTGTAAAAATTACGTCCCTCATAATACTTTTAAGTGTTATTAAAATAGGTAAAAATAACATAAATAAAACTTTTAAAATAACTTAAAAAAAAGTTTTACTTCAAAGTAAATTTTTAACGTTAATTTAACAAAAAAATAATATTTTAAAATAAAAAAGTATAACGAAAAACTAAAAAATCAAGATTCCGTGGGATTTTTACCAAAACACAAAACATTTTTTGTGTACATCGCCTTTTGAGAAAAAAAAACAAAAACAAATAAAAAAAATAAAAATCCAAAAAAGTAGTCCATGTTTCTTTCCATGCAAAAATCATGTCGAACACCGCTAAAAAGTGCAAGATGACTAAAGATAAAAAAAAATTCCAGGTTCTGGGAATTTTTGGAAATTTGGCAACATGGCGGAAAAAAATGGGAAAAAAATTAAAAATATTAAGATGTAAGAGAACAAAAAAGTACGTTTAAAGTTGGCAACACCGCGAATTTTCGGAAACTGTGCAACCACGTCAAATAGTGGAAAATGAAGTTCTGGGATTTTTTTTTCAAATACAAGATTCTGAAAACCTTTGTAAATTTGTAACGTCGAAAAAGATCTAGGAATAAAAAAAATTAAAATAAAAAAAAATCAAAAAGCAAAAAAAGTACATATAAATTTATATAAAATGCTCCCATTTCTGGGTATTTAAAGAAAACAAAAGAGATAAAAAATAAAAAAAAATTAAAAGCTTAATTTTACATTGTCTAAAAACTTTTGAATTACCCTGTATACGAATTTAAAAATACCCCGGAATAAATCAATGATCGGTTACGCCTTTCCAGTGTCCTACAACTAAATCGTGCCTAGTTCTGATCTAATTTAATCAATTATTTTAATGAAATTCTGCTGCCCACTTTGCAACAAGCAAATACCTACGTAAGTTAAATTTACAAAAAAAAACAAGTTAGATGTCCAAACTCAACGACAATGTTCAAACTTTGCCCACTTAATAAATTTAGCTATTCTTTGTTATGATTTGTTTTTGGCAAACTTTTCCAATGAAAAATACTTAGCGAACCACATTAAATCTAAAACAAAAGGCTTTTATAAGGATACTTAATAACTTTCAACGAACACTTACAAACGTTTTGAAAGTTTTCTATTCAACTTTACGCGAATTTATTTTTCGGACGAGATGATTCGAACAAAATTTAAAGTTTGTACACAATTAATTGTTTGTATGAAAGAAAACATTTTTGGTAGAAGATCTTTTTATAATTACAAAGTAGATTTTTATTTTCTTATTCTTTCCCTATTGTAATAATCATCCTGGTTGGCTGTGAACGATGATGCCTGTCTTGTCAGAGATTGCTTCGATCTTTCTTGAGGGCACTTCGGCATTTGGATTATTCCCTTCCGGGAAATTGACATGGTCACTTTATCAAAACCCCAGAAATGCATTTGAGTGAATCTCACGAAATGTCCCCCGATGATATACCCCGTGATATTTAATAAAACTAAATGAGTTTGACCTAAACTTTTATTGTGTTTTAATCTTTCGTAATTAAGTAGATATGACAGCTCAGGTTCCAGATTTTTAACTGCAATTAATTATTTTTTACAATGATTTAAAAGTCTAAAACCTATCCTCCGTGACTGTTACTCTTTCTAGGCTAACCTATATGTTTTCAAATATCTGAGGTAGTAAAAGCATACTAAAAATATCAGTTCACCAAGTAAATTAAACACATCCAAAGCAATGGAATCAAATATAAAATATTATTAAAAATTAAAAGAAATAATTTTTATAACCATTTATGTAGGTGTTACAAAAATTGATTCTATCCTCCGTGAATCTGTTTTTGCTTTAAATTTCATGCAACGGATGGCGCTTTAATCATTTTAAAAAAGCAAAAACCTCTGTTTACGACATTATAGATGCATGTGATTCCTGAAGGTCAGTTAGAATTTATATGCAGATGAGAGTGATGCTGTTTTATAATTCAAAAGTTTAAGTTCATTAATTTGCTATTTAAAAACCTATCCACCTTGAAGTGTAATATCTCAGTAAGCAGATTTTTTTTATAAATATTTTATGTATGCACAATTGTATTTTTTAAAAATATTAAGGTGTCAAAAGATACAATAACTTATTTCAAATATACAAAGGGGTGTTTAAAAAAACATACGAAATCCTAACCTCCGTGAAGCTCTAATATTCAAAATGTAAGATTTCTTAAAATTCTTGCATTAGTGCAGAACCACTTATGTTATGTTATTACTAGACCTGGTGGCTTCCCAAAAACTCCATTCTAGACTAACAGTGAAACAACCAAAAATAAAAAATAATCATTTTCACTTGGGGGACATCTCAATATATCCACCCATTTAGGGATGGAAGACAAGAAGCCAATTATTAAAGAAAATTTACACTTATAATTTGAAAAAAATATACCTATAGAAAAAAATGTAATTGACCCCGACGTGATTTGAACACGCAACCTTCTGATCTGGAGTCAGACGCGCTACCGTTGCGCCACGGAGTCATTGTATTTTATTAAATTACATTATTTAGTAATTTCTGTATTTTATTACTTTCCTCTTATAGAAAAATTTAGTTTTTTAGAACAAATTTACGATTTCTAAATTAATAATCCCAACAAATAAAATTCTTTATTCTATTTTTTTATTTAAAAGTTAAAAAAAAGTCTTGCATCGGCCGGGAATCGAACCCGGGCCGCCCGCGTGGCAGGCGAGCATTCTACCACTGAACCACCGATGCTTGTGTTAAAAGTTGTAAGTATGCGAATGCAATAGTTTTCCGATTAAAATATTAATACCTTCATCGTAGATATCTTATTTTTTTTTTAATTTGTTTGATGAAAATGGAAAAATTGCATTGTTAGGTGGCGGCAATAAGGAAAAGTCGTGATCAAAGCCGTATTTATTGGAGTAGCTAAAATAAGGGTTCAATGAAGGAAGGAATTGGTCGTGATCAATTCTCGAATAGTTTTTGGGCGACATTGAGAAATAAAGAAAGGCCCGTCGTTTGCAACGTCGACAATGAAAAATTGATCCAATTTCACGGAACACTTTCAATCAGAAATCAAAAAATACCAAAAAAGAAACAATGGTATAGGTATTTAAAATTAATGTTTTGTAATAATTTCTAATGCAAATACCTAAATGAAAATAATACATTAAACAGTTTTTTTTTCAAGCATTTAATAATATTTTTGTGCTTTTGGTCCAAATATCTGGTTTTTTTCATAAAATAATTTTAACTAAACAGCATTTATTAAAAAAAATCTAACTTCTCTATTATGGAATAAGTATATCTGTATTAAAGGTAGGTTAATATACCTATTAGGTATAACAAAAATTTCATCTAATTTTGTAATTTTAATGTTAGAAAAATTTATTTTGACCAAAATAAATAAGTATTTTGGATTAACTATAATATGGTATTTAAAAATTTGCTAGTTTCTCTAATCAAGCTTAAAGTGTACCTATATAAAGTTTTGTTAATACCTACAAATAGTTATAAACTGAATTTGATCTACATCAAAAAATCATTATAACTTTAAAAATTTAATAAATCACATGTCATGGGAGTATTAAATATTTTCACATTGCAAGTTTGTCTAAAAATTGTTTGTTTTCTTATAATCTAACTTAAAGTGGGTATGCCGAGAGGTATGCACAAGTTTTGTCGTTAGAAGTATAAAAGCTTCTATTTAATTTGAACCATATTCAACAATTATTTAGTATACCTATATTTATTTATGACCATATTAACACACTCTTCCAAATATTCCACTTATTTATTTAGGTCAAAATAGATTTTTCTAACCTTAAAATACAAAGTTAGATGATATTTTTTGTTCTAATACATTACCTACCTTTGATACAGATATACATATTCCATAATAGAGAAGTTAGATTTTTTAAAAATAAATTCAATGTAT